CCCCCCCCAAAAAAAAAATAGAATAAATAAACGAACAATAAAATTGCAAAAGTTTGAAGTTTTCTGGATGGTCACGTATGAAATCGGCAGATGAAAACTTTGGAATTTTGATAATGAAGATGGGGATACAGTGAATGAGGAAGGAAATAATGTAGATGAAATAAAGGGGAAGGGAGTTGGGGATTAAATGTAGGGCAACATTTATTTTGTTACTGTTGGGGACGGAATTTTGCCAAAAAGAATCCGCCTCAGGCGCCTATCAGGTGAGTCAATTCACACTATGTGACTAGTCAGCTTTTGTGTTAAAATAAAACATAAGAAATAAAGTTGGAGGGTCAAATAGAACAAAGTTGAAATAGAGTGCCAAAGTGAAAAATGGGGCCAAGTTGAATGAGTTATATATGTATTTGGCCTAAAGTAGATAAAGCATCCCTAAAAATCAATATACAGTATTAATAACGTACACAGACAGAGTAGGGGTGGGAAAAAAATCCGAAAAATCGAATTCCGAACCGAACCAAATTAATTTGGTATTTCGGTTTCGGTTTTTTCGGTTTTTCGGTCTAATTCGGTAATGAATTTTCGGTATTTCGGTATTTCAGTTCGGTTTTCGGTTTTATAATTTTACAAATTTGGTAAACCGAAATACCGAAATAATCTAAACGACTAAGCCCAATTACCTATTTTATAGGCCCATGCGGCCAGGCCATGCCCCATGCCCCATCCCCAGCGTCCCACTCCCACCCAGGCCCAGCTCCCCCAACTCCCAACCCAAGCCCAATCCCAATCAATAACCTAAGTACCCAACCGGCCAACCCAAGACCCAAGTCTTGAATCAAATTAGGCATTTCATTAGGGCTTGCTTACTACTTCAGAGTTCAGAGTCTTCACTCTTGTCTTCAGTGCTTAGCCATTTCATCGAGAAGTAGACGAGAATCGACTACGAGTCTAGGATATCACTTATCAGTCTGCGATTCTAGATGAGAATCGACTGCTTAGGATATTAGTCTACGTCTCTACGAGTTACGACCAGTCGACATTCGAGCTCGAGTCTCATCTCATCTTCACCGGTTAACTCCACTACTTTTGTAAGTTTTGTAAGTCTCATCTCATTCTCATGATCTCATCCCAGTACTCGACTACTCTCTGAGGTTTTGTTTGAGTTTTTACATTTTTATGTTTTGAACTTTTTGAGTTCAGAGTTCAGACGCATAATTTTTTTAATTTCTGATTTTCCGCATCAAACTAATTTAGGGTTATAGGAGGCGATTTCCAGCTCGATTCGATTCCTCACTCCTCAANCGTGTTTAAGACTTTAAGTTGTTTAATATAGTTGTGTAATCAGTAATGTGCATTGTGTAGTTGGCCAGCTTTTGCCAACTACAGTATACGCCAGATTCATTGCAAATTTGCCAGTTTGTATGACATACAATATTGACATTGAGTTCAGTATACTGGCGTGCAAGGTTGCCTTTGCAAGTTGCAACTGCAGATGTTATTCTTGTTTCAGGCTTTCAGCCATGTGCACATTGTGGTTGTGCAGTTGTGCACTGTTAGTGTTAATATGTTATAGTGTTATATATCGAAAAACATATTCTTTTAGAGTGAAAATTTCAATTGTCCATGTGCACTGTTAGCACTTAGCATTGATTGTTAAACCGAAACCGTACTGAAACGTACCGAACCAAAATAAGAAATACCGAACCGTACCGAAATAGTTTGGTACGGTATTTGGTATACATAATCGATAAACCGAATACCGAAATACCGAACCGAAATTCTTAAATACCGGACCGAAATACCGAACGCCCACCCCTAAGACAGAGGGAAAGAAAACAATAAGGGGTCGTTTGGTAGGATGCATTAGATAAGCTAATGCATGCATTAGCTTTGTTTATTAATAATACATTATTTGGTAGACATTTTGAACCTATGCATTAGTTATGCAAGTATTAGTTATACATCCTATTTGGTATTATCCTATGCATAATTAATGCATAGAAAACAATGGTATTAGCAATGCAATTGGTTTTAATGCATGCATTAGCTTAGTTAAAGATAAAATTATCGTTCAAAATTTATGCTTGATTAAAATATGCTAGTTAGTATATTAATGCAAGTTCAAAATAATCCAAATAGTGAGAAATAAAATTATATCCCTAGTAAATAAATAAATACTTAGCATATTTCCTTTTTTATAAATAAATATTTTATTTTATTTTACAATATAGGTAGACAAATAAAATTATTTTTTAAAAACTTTTTCATATAAAAACATTTCTCAATATGTTTCTTTTAAAAAGTTAGAGTGTGGACTAGTTTTGATGGTATTTTTGTAAACAAACAATTCTTTTAGAAATTATACAATGCTTTAATACATCAAACCAGATAAAAAATATGTTAGTATAACTAATACATGCATAACTAATACCAGCATAACTAATGCAATCATAACTAATACCAGCATAACTAATACCAGCATAACTAATGCAATCATAACTAATACCAGCATAACTAATACAAACATTACTAATACACCCTATTCGCATCCTACCAAACGAACCCTAAAGGTTATTTTTCTTGGAATCGTAAAGAAAAGAACCAGTTGCTCAAAGTAGGTAAAAAGGACCCCGACGGTGGGAATCGCAACCCTAAATCGGCCGATGTCATCATCCGGGCAACAGCAGTTCCGATACACACAGACGCCGTCGAAAGTTCTTCACCTTCGGAATTTGCCATGGGATTGCAGCGATGAAGAGCTTGTAGAGCTTTGCAAGCCCTTTGGTAAAATTGTCAACACCAAGTGCAACGTCGGGGCCAACCGCAACCAAGCCTTTGTCGAATTCGTAAGTTGTTCGAGTTCATTTCGATTATCGTGATTGTCTGTTTTAGATCGTTGTAAATTCGCCCAAAGGTTTTTTAGATTTTCGTCTTTGAAATGTGAGTGATTAGAGTTCGATTATTAAATACATCCACGGTTCAAAAGGGCTCTCAGTTTCCATTGCCGTTCATGGCAGGGTACGTTTCATGTTTAACTCATTAAGAATGATTAGGAGATGGCTTAGTTGTTGAGGTTAGGCTATTTCAGTTCAAACCCTAAACATTGGCTGTGAGCCAATCTTCTATATTAGCTATTAGGATTTAGAGACTGCTCCCTGGCCACTGGATTAGTTGAGGTGTGCTCAAACTGGCTTTGTAATGGTCTGAAAATGTCATAATGAAATTTTAAATTATAGAATCACTAAGAGCTTCCAAAATGACTTTGTAAATTGTAATAGTAGAATAAGTAACTGCTGAAATGGGTTAATTACGTTCCTGGATTCCTTTTCCTAAAGCAATTTTTTGGTGTATCCACTTTCCCTAATGACAGTGTTAGCATGACTTTTGTTATTAGCATCTAATATGCACATTTTGCAACTGCAGGCAGACCTTAATCAGGCAATTAATATGGTTTCATATTATGCCTCGTCTTCAGAGCCTGCTCAAGTTCGTGGCAAGACTGTATACATCCAGTATTCTAACAGGAATGAGATTGTCAATAATAAGAGTCCTGGAGATGTTCCAGGAAATGTTTTGCTGGTAACTATTGAGGGTGTTGAAGCTGGTGATGTCAGCATCGATGTGATTCATTTGGTAAGAGTCTTGTTGCTTTCTCTCCTCTTTATAAAGGAAGTTTTTTCAAGAAAGCTAGCTTTATAGACTGTTGGAAAGTCGTGCCTTATGAAGGGTTGATTATTCATTCAATATCATTAATAAAATTTTGAACATGCCATGATCCCCAAGAATTATGTATTAACTAGTGGAACTTCCATATCTCCAAAAAAGAAAGGAACTGCAACTAGTGGACCTCTATGAAGAGTATTGTTACGTTGCTTTGTGTTGGCTTAGGTAATGGAATTTATGGTATTTCTTTTCATGCTTTAGAACTTATTTTCTCTAGTATTGCAGATTATTCTTGGGACATTCTTTCAATTTCTTTAATCCTTATTCTTTTCTCTAGCCCAGAACTCTGGTTATGGTTCAGATTTTAGAAGAGCTCAATTATTACTTACTATTGAACTTTCATCCAATATAGTAACATTTAAATGATGGCAGTGTTAACTAAAGTTGATTGAATCACAGATGGTCATTATTTAAGATCTTTTGTTGGAGATTCTGGATATGTAATCATGTCGGTCATAAACCTTTCTATGGCTTGCATATACAGGTGTTACTCTGCACTCAGAATCTAGTTCCTTTGTGTTTCTTCTTCAGTGTGTTTTGGGAAACATATTACTGGTTGATATTTTTCTATTACTTTTCTAGACTGATTTACTTTTAATGGGCCAAAACCCGTCTCAGGTGTTTTCAGCCTTTGGTTTTGTGCAAAAGATTGCTACTTTTGAAAAGGCAGCAGGTTTTCAGGTCGGTATATCTGTGCACCAATGAGTTTGGCTTTTTCTAATTTTGGGTGGATGGATTGGTAGAGTATTAATGGGTTTCTATTACACCTTGGCAGGCATTGATTCAATTTAGTGATGTTGGGACAGCATCTGCTGCTAGAGAGGCACTGGATGGGAGAAGTATACCAAAGTATGTGTACTTAGTTGATTGAACATACTTGGATCTATTCAACCTGCCTCTCACTTTACTCTTGATCAATTTAATCCTTAACATTTTTATCATAGGTACCTGCTTCCGGAACATGTTAATCATTGTCACTTGCGCATCTCATACTCTGCACACACGGACCTTAATATCAAATTTCAATCTCATCGGAGCAGGTAGTACAGATTTACCTGGACAAATTTTGTGTTTATGACTTTGTTACTTTATATTCTTATTGTTATTGCTATTTGTGCTCGCATTATTCTTTGCCACATTTATCATTATCTGCTTTTGATTTACAGTTGAGGTATTTTCTAATTTCTTATGCTTCTTGTCATCTAGGGTTTAGTGAAGCTCGGCAGCTAAAACAAAGATGTGTTTGACATGGCTTCGTAGTAATTTTCTTTATCTCAAAATAGTGGCTAACTGCATTCCTCTCATTTCTCATTTTAGATGACCATGTGAAGATTTTTGTTTTTCTACTGAGTTCGTGGTTTGGATAATGCTTTTCAATTGTTTGGGATCACAAACTGTGTATTCATTTCAAATATTTGCTTGAAAGCTACTTCTTGTTGTAACTTGGGGTAAATTTTATTGACATTATTGCTGAGTTGTCTGTTAGTCCTTAATGTGTATATGCGGAAGTCAAGTTGATATAAGATTTTATCTTGTTTCAATTGTATTTTTGATGAAGTCTTGTTTCATTTTTATTTGTTCCGATCCTCTCATTTTCCCTTTATATTTTATTGGATGAATGGCTGAATGTTGATTTTTATTTGTATCTGAAGTCACTTATCATGGGTGGCTAGTTGGCAGACGAAAAACCTGGGACATTAGTTAGATGTATATATTTGTCTTTATAAGAACATATGGAGAGTATGTTTAAGTGTGCCCCTGGTGACTCTCGTAGTATCTAACCCAAGTTTTCTATTTGTAGATTTATTTAGCTCTCCGATCTTGGATATTTCCCTGTAGGGTTGTGAGGCTAAAATTGTTAGCTATGGTATTTTGTAGGTTATGTTGTACAAAGGGACATTGCAAGACGTTTCTTTAGACAATCTGTCCTTGTAAATTCAACTGCAATACTGCTTTAGCATTGGATTCTAATATTTTAGGCTATACTGATTGTAAGCTGAGATTTCATTCCGGGAACCATGACCTGTTAGTTTATTTGGTTCTCTGTTGCTAGTTTTCGGGCTGCACTAAATCTCTGCTTGTATTCTTTTCTTGTATTATTTTTCTTTTAAGTTTAAAAGGATCACTAGACCGGATGTACATGTAATAACAACTAAGCTTCAATACCAACTAATTGTATTGCTAATTTGAATATTAAACTTTGATGTGATATCATATCTGTCAAACTATCACTAATATAATATATGTGTCTATTTGACATTGTAAACTCCATTCCAAGTCAAACATCATCATATAAGAAGGTATGGAGGGAGTATTGTGGCGTATTGGAATGAAATTGGTCCAATGAAGCGGATAGATGATTCATGAACTAGTTTAAAATTGATGCATAGTTGATTGATTGGTCGATTTTGAGTTTTTCATCTCAATAGTCAGCAGTTAGGGTATGAAATGAGTTTTTTAGGATGGTGGGGTGGGTGAGGTTCTTCTTTATGTAGTAATTCGGGGTATAGGTGTGTTAGCTCCTTAAATATGGGCTTTGGTTAACAGCAGTGTTTTTGCACTTACCGTTGCTTTTGAGGTATCTAATGCTTCTAAACTTATAACTTCTTCTGGGAAATATCTCGGAGTTTTTGTTGTTACAGAGCTGTATAAGTTAGTTGATCTGATATTCGTAAATGCTTATATCAGCTTGATTCACATTTAGTTCTGTATTTCATCTTATAGGGACTATACAAACCCTTATCTCCCAGTAAATCCTACTGCAATGGAGGGGCTTCTTCAGGTATGTTTCATTGCTCATCATTTTTGTTGTCATCCTTGTATGGGGGAAGTCCTCACAAGGTCTGTATTCAGCCTGTTGTAGGTCCAGATGGAAAGAAAAAGGAACCCGAGAGTAATGTGCTTTTTGCCTCTCTAGAAAATATGCAGTATGCTGTTACTATTGATGTCCTTCACACGGTATTCTTTTCTCTTTTGTTATTTCATTGATGTCCATAATGGTAATTGTGTTATTCATTTACCTTCCTTAAAAAAAATGGTGTTATTCATTTATATTCTGCTGTTACTTTTCTTCCCCAAAATAGGTATTCTCTGCATTTGGCGCTGTCCAAAAGATTGCTATATTTGAGAAGAATGGTCAAACCCAGGCATTAATTCAGTATCCTGGTATGTTTGGACTGTAGTTGCTGTTCTTTACTATTTTACGACCTGTGTTTACTTTGTCTAGCCTTTGAAGTTTTGTGGTGGCTTCTTTATTTTCTTATCTCTTCTTTCCCCCACTCCCTTTGGCAATTGTGGCTATTGATTTGGTCTTGGAAATGTGTGGTTACACTTGGAACCATTTGCTAGTTTCAGAAAAGAATTCTGTTAGCATTCCCATATAGATTACATGTACGTCCATACAGGATGAAGAAAGATTGAAAGACTAACTTTGCTGACTAGTATAAGTGAGACTGAAAACACTATCTATAATTCATCACAACCATTTTTGTGAACAGAATCAGCCGATACTTACGGGTGATAGTAGGTACACGGTGAAATAGTCGAGACGCTCGCAAGTGCTCGAATACCATAGTTATTAAAAAGGAGTAATGCGATCCACTAGGGAAATTTAATGTCACCCCAAACATCAATTCTATTACACTAGGGTGTTAGCAGATGGGCGTGTAATCATGGTAGCCTGGTAGTAATCTCCAATCACACACCCTGCCATCTTTTTTCCCTTTTTGTCCCGTGTTGTCCTTTTTTGTGGTTGATGTATCATTTTTAATGCAGATGTAACAACTGCAGCTGCTGCAAAGGACGCTTTAGAGGGACACTGCATATATGATGGTGGCTATTGTAAGCTTCATCTATCATACTCTCGTCATACTGATCTGAATATACAGGTATACATATGTGCTTTTGAGTTGGTTTCAAAGGGAAAAAATGATTACTAAATAAATAAAGATTCGGCACCAAATTTAAGATTCGGTTACTGAAACTCTGAAAGTATGCTTCTTCACACTTGGTCCTTTTTGTATCTTTCTGTCATACTTCTCAGCTTGAATTAATTTTTCAATCCTGGAAGCAGGCATACAGTGACAAAAGTAGAGATTACACAGTTCCAGAATCAAGTTTGCTTGCAATGCAACAAGTATCAGCAGTCCATGCCACACCACCAGTTTGGCATAACCCTCAGTCTGGTCCACAGTCATTTGGCTATGCCGCTGCTGGTGCTGTTCCTGGCCAAGCATCTACATCCCAAATGTCCTCATGGAATCCAAATTTGCAGGGTGGCGGATCAACCTTTCCGTCTACTCCTACCAGATTTCATGGGCAATCATATGCTTCACCGGTTTCTGCTTATGCAACAGCAGTAAATCCTCCTGGATCGTCACAGCAGACCAATCACATTGTTAGTAGTGATCGATCTTATAGTGTAAGTCAGCCTCCTCATCCATCAACCATGCCACCTCCTGGTCATGCACCTTATCACGGTTAATAGCACTCGTGGGAACATCAGAGCTGCTAATGATTCAGAAGACCAAGATTCTTATTCACTGATGGAGGTGATGTCAGCTGTATACAATCCCATTTTCTTTTTCTCGAAGTTCACTGCTAAATTTAAGTTTTGGCTTTCTTGATAAATCGAACTAAATGTTTGGTCTGCGAGTGGAAGAATCATCTGTGATCACATTATGAGCTGTATTTCTTAATAGTAATGATGGTTTTTCTTATTGGCATATTATTATTGTTGTTCCTGTTATGTTGTAAGCATTTAGTCGTCTTTAGAAATTCTGCAATGGTAATGGGTCAATGAAGTGTTTAAGGTGATTCAACGGCTTATATCCCTCGTTGTTCAGGATCATACAAAGATTTTACTTTTTATTGCAGGTATTTTGTATAACTACCAAATTGGTGATGTTCGTGGAAAAATGTTCCGTACACATGTTAATTCCTTCCATCAGCCAGCTTTTTGCTACGAAGCTCGTTAGCTGGCCTTTAATCTCTTTGCTTTGTTTAGTGTTGGCATTATTACTGCGTGCTTGTTTCTTAGTAAATTTCAAGGTGAATGTGGTTACGATTCCATTTTGATACATGTTTAATCTTCTGTCTTATTTTTGAGTTTTGTTGTTAATTTGAAACCCCAACCCTAAGGTGAAGGGTGCTTAACACGTGAGCATCCCTCTCTTGTTACAAATCTAATATTAGGGTGTGGATTTGATGAATTTTTGATTTTTTTTTTGAATTAAAATCTACGCGTTTTGATAACTTCATAAAAGCACTATAAATTATAAATTTTCATACAGCAAAAGATTTTAATATATTTGAAAATGTCTAAAAAAATGTTTAACTTCCCATATCATTCTTAGAATAGAGGGGAACATTTTGTTAAGTACCTGAGGCAAAGTGTGAATTTGTGTGGGTGCTTTTGCAAGATAAGTATACGGAATGAAACTGTACGGCTCACTCCTATTCACCACCAGTGGATCATTGAAGAAGTGCATTTTAGAAGGCGTAACACTAACAATGTCACTTTTCTATTCAATACAAGAAATCACTTGTATGTAACGACTACTGGAGAAATTGAGTATTGAATTATTAAACAATAACAATGTCTCATATTGCTGAATTTCTTATATACATTTTGCTTCATTTGTTTTGGGTTATCAACGTGTTATTTGATCCTTTCATATAATCTTATATTAATCGGCTTGACTACAAAACCTGGATAGGTAACTAGGCCGATTAATATAGATTATGTTATGGAGGAATTCGTGATTTCTTAAAGTTGAAAATGTTAACCCAAAAAGAAAATGGAAAGTAAGTCGTTTATTTCTTGGAAGTTGGATGGCGATGCCATCATGTCAAGCGGGACATATTGCATCGGAAGTGGACACCTCCTAGTGGTATAATAGCTGGATGCTTGCTACCCAGAAATGAACAAATTCTAAATTTTTACGTCTTATTTTGTTTCGCCATTTTGTTGTTTTACATCCTCATTTCCGATAATTTAGCCATTGTTATACAAAAACCCCTGGAAAGAAAGTCAATAATTACAAACTTACTCCAACTCATTCCCTTTTTCAAAATAATAATAATAAACTACTGTTTCATTTCTTCCTTCCTCCTTCGATCATTAATAAAACATGTAATACAAACGTTACCTTTAGCTTCCATTTAACCTTAAGGAGAAGGGCAGAGGTGAGTGCGGCTTATATTTACTCGGTTAATCCAGTATTTTCGACATGTCATACACACACATAAGTATAATGTGTTCAGTACAAAAGTTAAAATCATAAAATTTAAATTATGAATCCGCCCCTGGCAGCCGAGTGCATGTATGCTCGCTTCAACTGACATCGAAACCACAGCCGAGTGCATGTAGCCATTTGATTTGTGCTTATATATCGTAGTTAGATAGTGTTGGCTAAGATCATATCTGTAGGTTCTTAATTAATTCTTAGTTCCCAGGGGCTGGACATGTGAATCTATATTGAGATTTTCTACCTATCAATTGTCATAAGACTCATAACTCCTCATGTGCGTATGTAACTATGTGGGAGTGTGTCGCTTTAGGTAGTTGTCAATTTTAATAGTGTAATGGACCACCCTTTTGTCAGCCACTGCCCACACCACCAGAAAGGACTTGCTCTTTCAACAAAATAAAATTTGCCTGTACAGCTTGTGATATAACTCTGCAACTAACTTATACATGTCGTTGGTTCACATAGTGTTTCTACATGCTGGTTGTTGCCTTAACCCCATTTAGTATTCTGGACCCTAACTCTCCGTATTTCTTAGGCTCATATCTGCCGGGCGGATGCAACTTTACGTTACCGAGTTCATCTGAACCCAGTCTTTTCGACGCGATACATAAGTTTATGTATTGTAAAATTCATCAAAACTGTAACAAATAGTAGATATTACCCAATAAATTTTAAAATATGATGGGTTCATGCTAAGAACCTTGAAGGCTTGAATCAACACAAATTAAATCCTGAAATTCGCCTATGCACGTCTATATATGCGCATAATACATGCCTATTCACTAGCAGCTCTATGCAGTTACATGACCATTGCTTTTACTCCACTCTATTAGCCGACATTTTCTTTCCATTTTTGTTCGGGAGAAGAGTAAAAAAGACGTCTTCCTATCGTACAAATATCTTGGTTTTACCTTGGCTCCTATTATACTTTAGGGTTATTTATACTCTTATCTTGCTAATTAGCAAATCTTCTTGTATTTGGATTTAGCGTCAATAAAGCCCCAACTTTAAAGCATAATGGAGAGTAATTTTTAACCATAGTCAAAAGAAGAGAGGTAAATTTAAAATTTTTTCCCGAAGTATTTTGAAATATTGAGTCCACCCAATCTACGCTAGATCTGCATTAAAAATAAGAGCAAACATGAGAGTGTTTGTAAACGGCAAGAGTAATAAATGACCTCAAAAACCAGATATAATTTGATTAGTATGAACAAATCCAAAATCGTTATAGATAAAGCCAATCATTAATTTCCACCCGCTGGGTGAATGACATCCGATACATAAATCGGTTAAAAAAAATAGAAAAAGTTAATATAAGCATGTAACCGAGCGTGAAATATAATTAAGATATTTTATGAGAAATAAATTTGGATCAATTCTTTTTGGTTTCTTCAGAATCTTCAACAAGGAGTACTAAACTTTTCTCATTTATATGACTTTGTTTTTTGTTTTTTTATTCTCCAATAATACCTTCTTTTCTTGGTAAAGAAAATGTCGGTCTTAGGATGTGAGAGAAAAAGGATGCTTTTTTCAAGTTGCTAATACCATGGTGAAGTTCAAGCATTGCGTTCGAAGTTTGATCATAAATGTGATATTAATGGCATCATTAATTAAAATTATAATGGATTACAACTCTGAAAGTGGAGCCTCAAAACTACGTCAAAACATGCACAGGAAATTTCTCAAGTACGATAGAGAATTAAGAGCCAGTTGTACTAATGCAGTGGGACGATATGACATTCTAACTTCCTGAAATCACGTTTTTTTTTTAAAAATAATTTTTAGTGAACAAGACAGTTGTGAGGGATAAAACAGTCCTAAATTCTTTTTTTTTTTTTTTTTTAAGCGGATGCATATTATAATTAAAACAAACTATCCGTGGGGGTTTACAAAAGAGTGTTTGTGGGTGGGTATGTGATACCCCCTCTAGCATGCTACTGATATCACTATTACAGTGTTTTCCTTTCAAACGCAGGTCCTGCGATGTTTGCCCAAAAGACATGATTGACAAACATCGGAGGAACTGTTGTTACAAATACATCTTCAATTTTTTTTTTCCTTGCCCCTTCCTTCGCCAGCATGTCAACAACTTTGTTGGTCTCTCTGTAACTGTGCTTCACCACCACGGCGCCTAGCATTTGGACGATTGACCTGCATTCATGAATAAGTAAGTCAAAATAGAGGTTCCCCTTAATTAGCATTCTAATTACCTCTGTTGAGTGAGTGTTTATTTCCAAGGGAGTGAATTGTCTTTCTTCTACGATTTGCAGACCTTTAAGGAGAGCTAGTAGTTCTGTTTGGGTGTTAGTGGTGTGTTGGATTGAGCCCATATAGCCCAATATCCAGTTTTCATTTGCATTTCTGAAGACTCCCCCTAGTCCTCCCTTTTCCGGATTCCCTGTTGCAGCTCCATCAGTGTTAAGCTTGTAGGAGTTGTTGTTTGGCGGCTCCCATTTTACCCAGATATTTTTCATATTTTTGGGTTCTTTATCCAGCATCATTATAGCATATTCAGTGGCCTTTGCTATTGCACATTTTGAGTCTGCCCTATCTTTTCTGTTATTGAAGAGGTTATTATTCCTTGTTAGCCATATTTGCCAAAAACAGAAAGGGATGAGCTCTTCCCAAGTAATGATGCTGTTGTAGGCTTTTTTCTTTAGAGATGCCCAAGTGGTTGGCCAATCTGTGTATGTGAACATAGGGATAAAAGTATTTGTTTCCGTATTGCTTTGGGAGATGATGTCTTGCCAGAAAGTATGTGAAATGGTACATTCAAAGAAGATGTGTACTGATGTTTCATTGGCCTGACTGCATTGGTGGCAACTGGGGTTTGATTGTACCCCAACATAATATAGGTAGGCTCCAGTGGGGAGCCTTTCATGGAAAAGCAACCAGAAGAAGGATTGGATTTTTTGGGTACTTTTAATTTCCAAATCCATGTGTAATTGTGGGTCATGGTTTCCTGTCCTTGGTCCAATATTGAATAGGCAGATTTTGTGGAGTAGAGACCATTTGGTGTGGCTCCCCATATCATTCTATCTTTGTTGACTGGGTTGGATGGAATGAAAGTGTTGTGGATGGAGTTTTGGATATTTTGGGGGATGGTGAGAGAGAGAGAGAGTAGAGAGGTCCCAAACTCCATTTTGATGGACATTTGCAACTGTTTTGGACATGTCTTCTCTTGTCAGAGGACCTTGAATTAGGGACCTTATAGCAGGGAGGTTATTTATCCAAGGGTCATTAAAGAAACTAACTCTGTTTCCTGTATGAACTACCCATCTTTTTGCTTGCATGCATGTTTCCCATTCTTTTAGGATGCATTTCTAGGTGTGGGACTTTGCTTTTTTTGGGAGGGTTCCTCCAATTGCAGTGTTTAGCAATAAGAGTTTTTGCCCAAAGGGTTGTGGGGTTTTTAGTATAGCCTCCAAGTAAGGCCTGAGTGCTGAGCTTTATTTTTTAATTCAGCTTTCTGAATCCCCAGTACCCCATTATCCTTAGACTTTGTAACTGTGTCCCAAGATATCAGGTGTATTTTCTTCTTAGTAGCAGTGGTGCTCCAGATGAAGTTCCTCTGAA